ACAGACACACACACACACTCACACACACACACACACACACTCAGAGACACACACACACTCACACACACACACACACACACACACGCGCGCGCGCGCGCGCCCATACGCACACGCACCATGCACAATACCCTGATCCAGAAGCACCCCCCTCCCACACACACGCACACGTACACAGACATCCACGCTGGTATCACAAAACACAACGTTAAACTTTCAGAGAGAGCACAGCTATGTTGAAAGCTACTGTCGTTTGCCTTTCTGTCCTTCATACAGCGCTGCTGGAGAAACAGCGTAAACTGAAGGCCGCCTCTGTCCCTCGAGCACTCTCTGCTCGCCAGTGCCCTTCCCAAACCTACTGCGATGTCACCGGAAGTGCACTTCCGGCTACGACAGACAGAACGGTCAGTGGCAGGCGGACCAAGACGGCTTCTACAAAGATGTTTATCTTTGACATTCCTACCAACTACAGTATACCAGTGAGTATTGTGAAAAACCTTGAGTTATCATCATCAAAATGCCATATCTGTGACAGACATCGGCATTCATAGTTCTCCGTTCAATTACTTTGCTCGGATGCTTTCAAAAAAGCCACATTATATCCTGATCTTTCTATGTCACCTTTTTATTTAGGCTTTCCAAGTAAATTGCTCTCGAATTGCCCCGGCCTTGTTTGCTTTCAGTTTTGTCAGTGAGAGCAAGATATTCAGGGCCTTAAAAGTCTATACAAGTGTCCAGGAAACTACATTTGTCTCTTCCGAATTGTTTTATTTGTAAGCGGCTCAAGTGGGTTTCTTGGAGTACTACCTCATTTGATTTCTTTTCCTTTGAGTTATAGTATTACCTATTTGAATTGCTTTCGATTATTTTGTGTGCAGTTTCTGAGGTCAACATTAATCGATGAAAGGATAAAATGGCGTACTTAATCCCCTTTCCCGGAAAAGATTTGTAAACATGTTTTCAGTAACAATATTACGTTTCACTGGCTGAGTAGGGAAATCAGGTAATTTCCATGTATTGGTTTTCTTTTGGTTTCTACTTTAAAATTTGTTTCACCTTTGGACTTCCCAGTATTCATATACATGTATATGTACCACTGTGGCCGACATACAATTCGTTACTAACGTGTTTTAGGCTGTAAAAAATTAAATCGGGTATTGAATTTTTTTTCCAACATAATGTACTCGTTTTTACGCCCCTTTTCTCACAAATTGAATTATGTAGGAGCCAGGTTTTGACTCTGCCTGGCAGGGCCTACCCGGGCTCGGATGGATACAACATCCCTGCACAAAGACAAAGATACTCAATTAGAATTCTCTCTACGCTGAAATCTAACTCAGGTCATTTGCGTACATCTGTGTAACGCCTAACAGCTACAACGCAGAAGCTGTTTTTAGGCTGTAAGTCCCCCGCAAGCGTATTAAAGAATTACTACAATTTACGTTTTGTGACTGACTGTTGAGGAACGATTTTTCCCCAAATTACCTTGCCCCCTCGTCAACTCAATACAGTTACCACTTGTATTAGAAATAGTTCCGTTCCGTTCTTATCTACACTATCAGTAGTCGATTGTGTATGTGTGTGTATGCATGTGTGTTTGCGTGTTTGTGTGTGTGTGCGCGTGCGTGCGTGCATGCACGTGTGTGTGTCTGTGTCTGTCAAACTTGAGGTTCTCGATGTTCAAATTGTACTTGGAGTTTCGTTTTATGGATCACACTGTGTCCTTTTATCAGTGTCTAAAAACAAAATCCATCTGACTATTTAAATCACAGTCATGAGTATCGTACAGACTGTCAAAATTATATTTATGTGGGCTCCAAAAACTATAAAAATCATACTTATATGTGTATTGTTAATGCGTATTCTAAGGAATATCGAAAACCGATTAACGTGGGTCCTAAAGACTATTAAAATCCTGTTTATGAGTGTCCCAGACTGTCAATATACTGTGTATGAATATCCTGGAAACTATTAAAATTCTATATAATCATTATCAGTATAATATGTAAAATATTTCAGGTCTTTCAGCCTGTGAACGTTTCCGAAGCTCCACGCATGTACTACAGGTAAGTGGTAGCTAAAAGACTAGTCCAGTTGGAGTAACTGAGGAGATATGACCGTGTTCTGTGCAGTATTGATGCACAAGTTTTGTTTAGTTGTAACACAACATGGTGTTGGGTAAAAGAGGAACACCGATAAACACGAAAAATTAAATCGGGTATTGAAATTGGAACAGTCAATGGGACCTCCATCCCGACCCCCCTCCCTGACCCCCCAAAAGGAAAAATGTTTAACCCTTTTGTTGGTTCATGGAGAAGGGGGGGGGGTCTATTTTTCTATTTTCTCCTGAAATTTTTGAACATTATTTCTGTAGAGTACGGCTTTTTTTTAAAATCAAACGTAGGTAAGGATTTTTTGCGGATAAAATAAAAACTATTTTAGCCTACAACTAGTTACATTGTTTAAGTATTTTAGTTCTTACAAATTTGGATATTACTCCTAACCTTTGATGAAAGTTTTATTTAAACTGTAGGCCAACGCTTTACTAACAACTTCAGAAACGTTAATGTGCTAAATAATACTGAGCGTTGTTTTCTTCCCTCAGGTCTGTCTGGTATGCACTCCATTATAACATAACAGCCCCCCCCCCCTTTTTTTTGGATACATGCACCAGTATTTATCCCATGTGACATAAAGCAAAACGAACGAGACATACGAGAAAGCTTGGTTTGTGACACAAAAAACGTACTAATCGTTCGAGTGGTAGACGGGGACTAGCGATAACACACGGATGAACGGACACTGGACACAGCACAGCTATACGACACATTGAGTAACAATAGCAAATGCCATAACAGACGAGACAAAAAGACGCAAAGAGACGAGACGCAACAAAAGAAATATCATCACACCATGGTGATGTAAACAAAGATAAGACAGAAAATGACTTTATGACTGACATCACACTATGTGTTCATTGTTTGTAAAGTAGACCTGATGTCTTTAAGTACCTATTGTGGGAAACTATCAAAGCCGCGCATTTTCGAGAAGAAAAAAAACTATCAAAGTCGCTCACTATCAGAACTGAGCATTTTTTAATGGATATCGATAAAATTAGATTGCCGATTCCATCCAACGGTCGAAGTCCCCTTAGCAAAATTACTCCGCCCTATTTTGAAAATATTCAGTGTCATGAAAACTACTTTCCAAATAAGTCATTTGACAAAAATATAGCTATGAAACTAGTTTTCAAATCTGCGATATTTTTTTCATTTAGCGTTAATTTTTTTTTCATTGAGCCCTTAGAATAAAGTGAGTTTGCAAAAAATGACCATTACTGAGATAAGTGGTGGGTAGTAACACGATGTTCCTACCTCTCTTAATCAAAATGATTGACACAAGGCCAGGGTGTTTTACTACTCAAATGGGCAGTGAAGCATTTTTTATAGAAAACTTAAAATTCAGGGTCGACAGAACGGCTAGCTTTCACATTAATTAGCTTGTCTGTACGAAGACCAGCAAGCCTTGAGCGAAGACAGACGATGGGAAAATCGTCATTTGGAATGAGCAAGAATTCTGTCTCCCACACTTTAAAGATCACCCCTGTCCTGTGAATGTGTTTTTTGTACTTGAAAAGCCCATTCTTTCAATAAAAAACTAATCCAGCCATATATCTAATCGATATGATATGCTGGTCCCAAGTCCAGTAAAGGGCAAAGGGGACTTTGGTAATCCGCTATTTAATTTTATCGACATCGCCAAAAAGTGTGCGGCTCTGATAGTGTGCGCTTTGATAGTTTTTTGTGGGAGTTTTTCAAAAGTGCGCGGCTTTGATTTTCTCTCCCTACTGCTTCTTTCAAATACATCGAATCCTAAAACGGACATTTGTTATTGGATATGCTAGTGTCTCTATGGAGTTTCCAAAATCTTAAGTTGATTTTAGGGCTAACCTCCTACACTTTTTGTTTTTAGTTCAGAGCTTAGGCTTTCTTAGATCTAAGAAATCCTGGTTCCGGGCACATCAAAACTATTCATCGCAACATAGCACAAAAATAACTGGGAAGTCGAAGTGGTATCGACGTCTTTCGTTTAATTATTGTTAGCAAAGACATCCCATGAAAGTGACTGTTGAAAATTCAAAAGTTAATACAAATTCAATCCCCAGACCTTGGCGAGGTGACAAGCTTCCGGTAGGAGACGTACCACATCCGGAGTCAGCACTGCCCTTCTACTGACCTACTTTTGCATCTCGAATAAGGCTTCCTTGTAGAGCTTGCAACGAATTTCCGACTTCATAGACAACAGTAAATGTAATTGTAGAAGTGTTACGCCTCCATTGACAACATTTAGATTATTTAGGGGGTAGGCTGATCCGACCCTGCCTGTCAGAGCCAACCCAGGTTGAAAGCTATTCAATGTCCCAGCACAAAGATGGAGATACTGGATACAAATTTTCCCCGCACGGCAGTCCAACTCATGTCTCCTGCGTGCGACGGCGAAGCGCTTAATCACTTCACGAAAGACCCCTGTATAGACGGCCTGTGACATTATATGATGCCAGTTCACTTTTCACTCAAAAGTCAATGAATGATTTATGCCGTGTTTATTTGAGTAAAGAGAACTTGGGGGAGCGGGGGGTTACGGCGCTCGCAATTGCATGAGGACATATAAGGGAGCGGGGCACATTTAGCGTCGTCAGTTTGGTAGGAAATAATTTTGGATTTTGCCCGGATGGTGGCCGAAGCCTACTCTTATCAAGGTTAGAATCACGCATCAATCGATCTTTACCGTGTGCAGCTTGCACACGGGACATCCGGTATTTTTCGCCCTTTTCCGAGAAAGTTGGGTGTTCAATCTTACCTATCCCAAGATCAGGGGTTTGGCTGACAGACAGCAGTAAGAGGAGCCAATGAGTAACTGTAGAAAGGAAGCAGAAAGAGTCAGGGGCCCAGAGGAGATTAGAGAGCAGGAAAGGAGGTGAAAAGAGAATATTTTTTTTAGATTCAGGATTTGAACCCGCGACCTATTGCATGAGAGGCGAACACCGCACCTCTAAACCTTGAGAGCCCCTCTGTAAACAGGGCACACCAACACAGTTGTGTTGAGATAAAGAGCAAGACAGGACGAAAAGAATAGAAGCAGAGCCTACCAGTGGCTAACGTCTCTAACGTTTTATAACGTTCCCCGATTGTAGGCCCCCAGGTCTCTGCATGGGTTCATGGGAATTCCTAGGAACATACCCCGAGTTGTGTTAGCTTGTTCACTTTTGTCTGACCGCGGTTAATAAAGGTAAAATGAAATTGCTCTGTTTAATCTTCTCCGATCTTTGCATACGGGTCTAAAAATTATATGATCAACACCTAAGAACCCATTCGTAAAGGTCATTGCAAACTAAGATTCCGACACGTTGCTATGTCTCCTTATTCGCGACATCGCATCGCGTTTGGCAGTCGCTCGAGATGGGTCTCGAGGTGTGTATCCTTATAGAATTATGATAGAGGGTGCCCATTAGCGCGATCAGGTCGGGTCGGATTGGGTCGGTCGTCGGGTGGGTCGATTTCTGGTGGTTTCAGTGCCCACTACAACCCCGCCGCGATTGTACCCGACGACCTGGAAGTTAAAGTAGAGAAACATTTAACCTCAATGGCTTCCAGGGCTCCTTTCCGCAATTCTCTGTCGCAGTGCTGCGGCAGCCTGGAATCCCATAAACACGGGTTACATAGATAACTTTCTATGATCAAAGATCGTTCATAACAAGTGTCCGCGGAAGTCCGCGCATTGGTTCAGATGGCGCAGAAGTCTTTGTTTTGGAAGATCTCTTTCATGTCTCCTGAAGAAGAATAGGAATAGCACAGTTGTTAGTTTTGCATTTATTGTTTTTCACAGAAGTAGGGTAACTCTGTTCACAAAGTCCACACTTTTTCGAAGAGGGCGCTACCGGATTTTTATTGTCAACATGGACTCGTGACTAAGCCTTGTTGTGAATGGCTGCAAACCACCCGGTCGCGCGACTCGCAGGCCTGAATACAAACGCGTTTGTTTTTGCAGGTCTCTGACCGAGTCGATGGCCGCTTTGTGCTCTCAATTTGGCTAGCCCCGACTATCAAATCGACCAGACCCGACCCGGGCGCGCTAGTGGGCATCCCTTGGAGTAACTATGGAGAGGCCCTAACCCGCTCAACAGTTCCAACCAAGTTGAAGCCGATGGGGCGGAGTTTATCGGGGCTACCGCCATCTTTGTAAGTTCAAAACAATGCAGCGTACGCAGCGTAATCTCTTTTCAAAGCAAACTGCTCGGACTCCATTGTCTCTCGAAATTTCTTTGTCAATCTTAATTACAGCATTATAAGCACTCACGTACAGTACTAATATAATAAGGATGTTAAGAAATCTTACTTGCATCAAATTACCAGCTCATTTAGTCGAATATTTACAGTAATAAATGTACTATGTATACACATTGTGATGGTAAGATTTTTTTTTTACATGTTTTAGAGACGAAATTGGGATAAAAAGGATTAAAACAAAAATATAAACGGGATAACAAAATTTGCTGAATTTTTGGTAGTAGAACTTCATTATTTTCACAAAAACGAAGACTTCTTCATAGTAATAATATAAAAAGGACGGTAAGAAATCTCACTTGCATCAAATTACCAGCTCCCTCAGTCGAACATTTAGTAATGCATGTATATATACACATTGTGACAGTAAGATAATTTTTTTAACATGTTTTAGAGAAGAAATTGGGATAATAAGGATCAAAACAAAAATATAAACGGGATAACAAAATTTGCAGACTTTTCGGTCATAGAACTTCATCAGTGCAAAAATGATGTCATCACTGACATTATTTTTTCTAAAACGTAGACTTCTTGACTTAAACATAGAACAAAATATATTTCTAACAAAATGGAAAATGATTACACATAAGATGGTAGTGAGAGTGGGATGGGATGGGCGAAGAATGAGGAAGGAGAGGGCAAGACAGATAAAAGTGAAGTATGATGGTGGAAATTAACTACCCTCCCCCCAACCCCCCCCCCCCCCCCAAAAAAAAACCCAACAAAAAAGAAGAAGAAAACAGCCCCCCCCCCCCCCCCCCAAAAAAAAAGCGGGGAGGAGGGGCATCTTTAAAACACCCAGACACTTTATCAAAATTTTACAAAATACTGTTAAGGGTATTCAAAAATTAATAGAAAATTTGAAATGATAGGCTTTTAATAAGAATTTCAAAACAGATTGCACTAATTTGTGACTTTTCTCATTTGACAATGTCACACACCCTGCAGAGACAGACGACACATGGTATCGGAAATGTTATTCACACACCAAACACACTTCAATGACATTCTTTGAAGGCACTGTCAAACCTCCGACTAGACTTCAAAAACAGCAATGAAGTTACATTTGACACACTGGAGTCAACTAAGGTTTCACATTTCCAAATGCTTTGTCAACCTTAACAACACAAAACCAGCAATGTAAGCAACAGTATTCTCAGAACAAATTGACAAGTATGTCAGACTATGTCTAGGCACAAACGTGCAGTTATCATCATGGCAAACTGAATTTTCTTCAATCTTTTTCATTCTGTTTTTACTGTGAGATGCATTTATGGCTAAATCAGAAGGCACTTCGTCATCAAGTTCAGTGCCTTTTTTCGTAGGCCTTACGAAAAAGTGTTTTACGACACTCGCAACTGCATAAAGTCATATGAGCGCGAGGGACACATTAAACATTTTAAGTTGGTAGGAACTTTTGAATTTTGCCCGGGTGGCGACCGAAGCCTACTCTTATCGATTTTAACCACCAATGCACCTTTAATGTGCGCATTTTGCATACGGGATCTCTGAGATTTTTTCGCCCTTGTCCGAGAAGGCTAGGGGTAGATCTTTCCTACCAGAAGATGACAGAGTTAAGAAGGAGCGAAGGAGTGGCAGTAGAAAGGCTGCAGAAAGAGTCCGGAGCCCTGAGGAGGTGGGGGCAGAAAGTGGAGAGGAAAGCAGACGACAGAGAATGTAGAATTTTAGAGTACACATTTTTTCCGTCACTACTCGGATTCGAACCTGGGACCTTTGAATGAGAGGCCCACCAGACCCGAACGTTACGCAAACTGCCATTTGGTCGACACTAAGTTTACAACTGAGAGAACTGAGCTGATCTCACAAACATGGCCGACCGTCGTCTGCTGCGGCTTCACGTTACGCGACTCGCGCCCTCTCCTATTAATAGTTACTCCAAGGGGCACCCCCTATTATGCACGACCACATCACACACCAAACACACGGCGTGTCGAGTGGCACTCCTTGGCAAGGTATTTTGACCAATAGTGATCCTTTAAACCTGTCACACCCCGAGTCTGCCGAACGCGACAAGGTCTCGATCGCCCGCGGCTCAACGTTGCGTCCCTGAAAGGAGACGGGTTCTTTATAATTTTTGATTTTTGAGCGACGTGACGTCTTTTACGGGGTGCCCACTACAGCTGGATCGGGGCGATTGCCTGAAACTGAAAACAAACACGTTTGTTTTTTAGGCGATCCCATCCGTAGTGGGCACCCTGTATTAGAAACACGATTAAAGAGACGCAGTGAGTACTTTTCGAAACTTATGTAGAGACGACCAGACAGCTGGAAATGACATCTATAAGCTTACACTGAAATGTCGGGGCAGGGTAGTGTTGCTGTCTCAAAATGAACAATGTAGGCGAGATTAATGTAAGTCATTCATTTAGTAAGCCTATGTCGCCTTACACAAAAACAAACGTGTTTGATGTCAGTTTCAGGCGATCGAGTCGGGCGATCGGCCCGATCCAGCCGGGGCAGACAGACAGACAGACAGACTGACAGACATACACACAGTAAGAGAGAGGTTGGCATTGAGACAGAGTGACAGAAAGGAAAGAGAGCGAGAGAGAGAAACACATACACATAGGCGCCCGAGCAAACACACACACACACACACACACACACACACACACACACACACACACACACACACACACACACGCACACACACACACACGCGCGTGGTTACATATATACACTACACAGACATACACTGAGAGACATTACGAGAGAGATTACGAGAGAAAGAAAGAGAGAGGGGGGAAGGTAGGGTCGTGGAGAGAGAAAAAGAGACAGATCTGAATCCACACAGACAGGACAGGCAGACAAAGCACACACAACTGGTTGGCATTATGTGGTAAACAGTTCGAGGAGCTCCCCCCCCCCCCCCCAACCCAACCCACCCCCGTAAAGTACAACAAGCATATTATAATGCACCCATTTGTCATTATTTTAATTTTTATGACGCTTATGAAACGAAATACATTAGAATCCTGATTTGTAAGCTAGCAAATTAAAAACTGTGTTCCAATCTACAAAATTATGTACAATTTTGTTCCTTGTAATCTTTACACATTTTTTTGGTCATTAAAAACATTGTTCAACGAGACACAACTTTTTTTCTTGGTCTTTGTCTGTCTGTCTCTGTATGTCAGTCACCATTTGTCTAAAATATTGTTGCTGTGTTTTTAAGTCATAGAAACATTGTCAAAAAGTAACCCAGCCCAGCCCATCCGACCCGAAAATCTATAATCTGGTTGAATGTCCCCCCACCCCCCGCCCCCTCCCCTAAAAATAAAAAATAAAATCCCAACTTGTTTGAAATTGAAAGAGCACTGGTTTAACTTCAGTGTTCTCTTACGAAAAAATGAAAGTTGCGAAGCCGAGCAGCCTGAACCAACCATCAAAGAAAGTTGCAGAACATCCGCCTTCTGCCAACATCGAAATAGTAGAAGAACCAGTTCTCAGAACAGAAAAAGGATCCCTCAAAGTACTAGAAGACCAGACCAAAAAAAAACTTAACCCGTACAAATTTGAAGAAACACAAGATTTCACAGACGTACCTGGTCACCGTTTATAGTGACAAATTTA